CAGAATATCACTGAGCAGTAAAAATGAATGAAATAACATGGTTGAAAGTTAAAACATAAAACTGAGTGAAAGAAGCAAGGTGCTGCAGCTGGCATGCAGCATGGGACACAAAATACAAAACCCAATTAAAATAATATGTTCATTAGATATAAAACACAAAGCCCAGGATAGTGGGGGGTGGCATGGGAACCATGCAGAAGAAACATAAAATCATTGATATGTTCTAGAACTTAAACGAATGGAAAGTTCACGGGTGTTTGTGTTATTATAATACTTCAAAATCTAAAGATGTATTACATATACTCTTTTGCATGTAGTAAATGTAACATGATAAAAAGCTTGTTCTAGTTAATCCTTAGGGGACTCTTCAGCTCTAAGCTATTGCATAGCCGCTACGTTTAGGGAGCTCTGATAAGAAACTCTCCATTACTCCATCATCTGCTTATTTGGGAGGAATTTGGAAGGAGCGGGCATGTCACCGCCTTTGAGGCCTCCCAAACAAATTCTGGGCACACAACCCAGGGTGGCCACTGGAGGTTGGTGAGAGGAGGTACACAGAAAGTTCCCCCAGACAGGAGGAAAGCACTCAGATGGGTGAACTGTGGCGGACCCAGCTCCCAGAACTGGGAAAACTGAGTGGCCAGCACAAGTCAGGCAGGGAACAAGGGGGCCATCAGGCACACATCTGCCATCCGTTCCATTTCTAGAAGGGAACAGAGGGGGATCACTAAGCAAAAGGGTCCCACAGAGAATACTCTGAGCAGTCACCCCCATATCAATTCTCTTGCTTTGGCTTCCAGAGTTAATGTCCATCTCGGGAGCCTGAAGACATAACCTCTTTCTAAGAGATTTGTTCTGCCAAGGGACCTTGCCCCATCATGTGGATGACACCCAGGAGGTGGGCAAGCTTGAGTTGTAATTAAGCAAGGTGATACATTTATTATATCTCCATTTAACGCAGCTAAACGCTGTTCTCTCAACAGATATACATACACAGTAACCCAAGACACATTTATTCCTATGGCTTCTTTGTTTTATTTATAGTGGCAGAAAAGCCTTTTTAAATCACAATGGTCTATGGAAATAACAGTCCTTTAGAGGTTTTCCATTTTTATTGATTTCTTTTTAAAATGCCTTAAGAATGGGAAACTTGATTTTCACTGCTGGCCATACATGAGCACAATGTGTCACGTTCTATGATGTGCCCCAATTTTTGAAATAATCTAGAAATTCAGCTAGTAGCATCCTCTGAAGTGTTGCTCAAGATCTGAGCTGGCTCAAAACCTGAGAAAATACTTGCTTGACTGCTCAGTTATTTGAAAAGAGGCACATTACTTAATGTTTATCCAGAATCTTGGATAAAGTGACTGAGTATGAAATGCTAAATTAGAAAGTGACAGTGTCTTTTGAAAAGTTTTAAAAATGTTTTGCCCCTGCACCAAGTGCCAGGCTCTCTTGTTCCCATTAAGATAAGGCTATTCTCTGGGAACAACTGTTGTCACCTCTCCCCTCCGATGACTCTGGCAGTGCTGGCTTTCAATACTGGTTTCTGTCCCCAGTCTTTCTTCACGCATCAAAGTGCATTCTCACCACTTTTCCTTCAATAAATCACACCCTTCTTCCCTCACCTGCCTCATTTGTTACATTTGGATCTGTACCCCGTAGCTATTCACTTGCTTTTCTGCATCCGAAGATAAGAATTTTAGTTGCAGGAAAGAATTTTAGTCGCATGGAGGGAGCCATACAAATCCTGTGGGAATCAAATAAACTTCTGTCTCCAGGGTGATACCAGAGCAGAGACTGTGATAAAGATTTAGAACTCCGGGCTTTCTTTAGCTTGGTTGGGTTTTGTTAATTGGCCAGAGGTGGGAGACGTTTGCAATGATTGACTGGTTCTGTGGCTCCCTTTAGGATTCTGAAACACTGGCGGCTCCCGGGGCATTGTTTTCAGAGCTGTGCTGACGCTTGTAAATGATGTTAGGGTATAAAGCTGTGCTCATTTGAAGCTCATTTAGACACAGAGATAATGAGCTAGGATGTGCCCGAAGGGAAAGGGGAGAAAATCAGGTGACTGCTATCAGAGAGAGAGAGGGTGCTAAAAGTTCTAAGGAAAAGCAGAGGCCCTTTTCTAACAGATGCAAGTACTGGCTGGGGAAAAAGTAATTTTCAGGTGAAAAGCAAGCACTCTCTCCCTCCTTGATGAGCTGCCGGGCAGTTTCCTCCTGAGCAGGGCCTAACAGACTCCTACTTGGCCGTTACCCACCCCAATGTGACAAAGCCTTTCCAATAAGCTTAACTTCTGAAATTAATACAGGGAAGAGTCTGATGCTCTGTTTTGCTTTCAAAACCTGTGTCCCCTAAATGCAACATAGGATTGGATTCTGGGACAGGAAAAAGGACAGTAGTGGAAAACCTGGTGAAATCTTAAAGCCTGTGGCTTGGTTACCTGGGCTTGATAAAGGAACCATGGTTACGTGAGGTGTTAGGCAAAGCTGGGTGAGGGGTATATGGAAATGTCGGTACTATTTTTACAACTGTTTTAGAAATCTGAAATTATTTCCAAATAAAATGTTTAATGAAATGATGCCTCTTTTAGTTGACCTGACTCTGACCTCTGAAAAGCAGACACAGAAGGGAGGCCTCTGGCTTTTGGGGGCGGCCTCGGGTGCACCTTCCTTCAGACCACATCGCAGGACCCAGGAAAGAATGTTTGTGTTCTAGAGGAAGGTTGCTTGGCAAATGATCTGTGTCTGGTTACACCATGTCCTTTGATTAGCTAGGCAGCAGCCTAGAAAAATCAACAAAATGAGGCAGGCTGGCTGGCCACCTGTGTTAATTTTGTTCTCAGTAAGAAAGTGTCCGTTTTTTCACTTGCCTTTGATTCACTAGGTTTTATTCACTATGCATTAAGGATGGGAGATTTAGTTCTCATTCAAAATGGCAATATCAAGTAAGTAACAGAATTCCAAATTTTAGACACATTTCTTTAGGTGTAGGGCATTTCATTGTTTTTTGTTGTTTTTTTTAACTTTATTGGGGAACAGTGTGTTTTTCCAGGACTCATCAGCTCCAAGTCAAGTCGTTGTTTTCAATCTAGTTGTAGAGGGCACAGCTCACTGGCCCATGTGGGGATCAAACCCACAACCTTGGTGTTAAGAGCCTGCGCTCTAACCACTTGAGCTAACCGGCCGCCTCTCATTGTTCTTTTAAAAATTGTTTCTATGTGTATTCAATATTAAAATGTTCTGTTTACCTATACTAGATAAGGATTGTGGAAATTAAGGTTCTTACAGTTAAGCATCTATCCAATATTTTGTTCAACAAGTTATTTCCATCCAGATTTTTCTCTTAAACACAAAAATATCTTTCTTTTGTCAAGATCGGCATGAAATATTGTATTTTCACTTAAACACATTGTTCTAAGCATAAAGATGAAAAGTTCTCCTGGGATTTCTTGAAGGGTGATCGAACAGAAGAGAACAGACAGACTCAGAGTGGGACTGAGTGAACTTGAACTTCTGTGTAAACTTCAGTGAGTCACTACTTCCCAGTATTCCAGAAACTTCTCAGGTCCAGTAATGCTGAGATTGAGAATCTCTGTAAAATGCTCAGAAATCTTAGGCAGAAGGTAAAATTTTTATTTAAAATAAGAAGTTACTTCTGCTACTGAAGCAGTAAGAAAATTCAATACCAAACCACAGGGGTAGTGAGGGACTTTTCAACAAATGGTGCTGAGATGGTGGGATGGCCTTGTCCTGAATGGGAGGGGTTTTGAGCAGAAAATGAACAAGATCTGATTTATTTTTGTATGAAGACCGCTCTGGCTGCTACGGTGGATGAGTCTGAAGGAGGGGTGGAGGGTAAATGCAGGGAGGCAGATGGGAGGGGCCCATCACCATTCAGGACAGGACTGGAGGCGGGGAAGAGGTGGTCAGGTTTTGCAAATGATTTGAAGGCAGACCCAAAAGATATGGAAGGAGGGCCGAGGAGGACACCTAGGTTTTTGTCCTGAGCAGTAGTGAAGGATGGGAGTTGTGAAAAGCAGAGATGAGGAAGATGATAGGAGCAGTCTGCGAGGGGAAGATCAGGTGCTGATTTAGCCACGTCAGGTTAGCCATTGAAGTGGAACTGTCAAGCAGGTATTTGGATACAAACGTGGTGTTAGAGGGCGAGTTCTGAGCTGGAGATGGGATCTGAGAGTCATCAGCAGATAGACGGTATTTAAAGCCTGACACTGGACCAGATCCACTGGGAAGAATGGCAAGGAGAGGTCCATGGACTGAGCCTAGAGCCATCCAAAGTTCAGAGGTCAAGGAGAGCAGGAGGAATTGATCATGGGGACCAAGCCCTGCCCTACTCCTCTCCACTGCCCAGACTGTGCCAGGGAAAAACCTGAATACAGTGAGGTCCTTTGTATATAATTAACGCCAGTTACCTGGGAACAGAGCCTTTAAGGGGAAAGTGCATACTTTTCCCCCTTGATTTTAAGATCGACTTAGTATTTGAGTTAATTTGTTGACTCATTTTGAAAAATTTACCTCTTTGAAGGGACCAAACAGAAATCCCAAAGACTGATTTGAGGAGGGTTGCAGGGGAGAGGGGAAGTAATCGACAGGCTTGAAGGCAAATTTGTAATTGGTAGTGGGCTTGAAAAGCTACTTGTAATATAATCTGTTCAAAATTTAAAACAGGGCATACATTCTGCTCGTGTGTACCCACATATGTGGCCCCTTGGCAATTTTTTTTCCCCCCTTTTTAGGAGAAAAAACTGGCAGCAGCCTTAGGACTGACTTTACATACAAAGCGATCTGTGACTATAATGAAGCCAAAAATTAAATAATATGCTTTGCTCACTCTGCTTGTGAATTGTCTCGGGGCCTTGGCTACATGTAAATGCTGAGGCAGCAATGGAGGCCCCTCCCTTGTAGGGATCAGCACGTTCCGACAGAGACCGTACCTCATACGTATGAGTATCATCACAAACAAAAGAGCAGTTGCTAAGACATGGATTTATTGGGATGTTATTATCAAATACAATCAAAGGCAAAATTCCCTGAGAACTCTGCCTGACCATCTGTAGTACTAGCTACAGAAACAGTACTTGGACAGAGTGCATTCATGTGCAAAGCGGGTAATTTATTTAGCAAAAAAGTCAAATTATAAAAGCATCGATTCCATCTTAAAACCTGACATTTAGAAAGCACTTCTGACATTCTAAGTTTGCATCCAGACATCTGCCCAGTCTGGATGCCCAAATCCCGCTCTCATTTCCAACAACAAAGGCAATTTTCACTAGTTGTGGGAAGCTGGAGCAGTGGTGTGGAGACGGCTGCCCTTCAAACAGTGGAGTGGGCCCCAGGAATGCTGTTTTCTACTCAGCCTGAGGTGTCCTCCTTGTTTCTTCAGAGAGAGTTTTGTGCTGGCTTCAACAGATTCTCAGTAAATGGTCAGGAATCCTCTTGGTAATAATGTTTGCAAAATGGACTGAAGATTAAAAAACATAACCAAGGCCTCTTGCCCACTTCCATCTGCCGTGTTAAGCTTCTCAAACAGGGCTCTATATAGCCAGCAGCCCTCAAATCTTCATTTCCATGTCATAAGAGCTGGTTAACGCCTGTTAATGACTACTGTGCAATTCCAGTCGACTCCTTGACAGTTTTTCTAGGGCGGAAATGGATAACTGTGCAGGTGGCTCTGAATATCTCCAAGACAAAAACAAGCTCATTTTAACCATTTCCCCTCTAGGTTGATTGTAGACTCATGTGAATTCCTGATTACAGAGGAGGAAAGCAGCACCTTCTCTTTAATAAAAGCCATGCCATTCATCGCTTTTCCCTTTTCTTTCCTTGTTCTTGGCAACTGTTTTTGGAAATTGGGGTAATGCCCCATACGCAGGCTGCAGATGTATTTACAGCACACATCCTTGGTGTGCTGTCCTTTGTGCAACCATGAAGAAGATGAGGCAGTTAAGCTCAAGAGAACATTCTGGGAACAGACTAAGATGGCGCAAATTGTAGCTGTCCTTTGAAGCTAGTGAAGCTGGGAAGCCAGGGCGTCCAAAAGCCAGGCACATGGAATTCCAGTTCCAACTCTATGGCAATGTATGTATTGATGGTCCTTATTCATAAAGCACTTTTGAGTTCTCCTCGGTTGTGACTTCTTGGGTTAAGTGGGCCTGGGCTGTGGCAGCAGGGTGGGGTAGCCCTGGAAGACTTACAGGGCCAGGGACTTCCTCCAGCACCAACTTTCCCAACCAGATGATACCTCCACTCCCGAGACTGCTGCAGGAAATAAGCCATGAGATGGGACTGGATGCTGGCCCTGCACAGGGTCAACCAGATTCTTACCAAGGACGCTCAGAGATAAATGTACAATGAGCAATTCAGTGTTCCTCAGCCTTTAGTCTTCCATGTCAGTGAACTTTCTCTTCTTGTAGTTCTGAACAAGGTTTGAAGCTGTGATCTGAGAAGCCTGCCCTTTCTCCCAACACTGAAAGTCATTCAGTCCTTTCTGCCCTGTTTGAAATAAGCCCCTTTCCATCTCATCCAGCCTGGCGACCAGTGCTGAAGTGTCTTCATTGTAAGCATTCTGGGAACTGTCCATGATGCGGCGAAAACGCCCAATAAACGTCTGAAGAAGAAGGGAGTAAGAGAAATCAGATCCACTTTTATCCCCAAACAGTTAAATGACATGAAAGGGAAGAATTTGGTCTCAGGATTCAGTCAGGAGTTCTGAGTAAGTTATTTCACATGGCCAAGCCTCAATTTACTTGTCTGTGAAATGGGTTGTTGTAAAAATCCAATGAAGTTATTAATACATGTAGAGCACTTGGCAAAGAGCTGGCAAGGGTAAGCTCCTCGAAAAGCAGTACTCATTATTGTTATTAGTAACAAAAGCCATAATAATGTACTGTGATCACACGCAGACAGGTTTCAACCAGAAAATGCTTCTGATTTAATTGAATGCAGTTTCTATTATTTTCAATCCGAGAGCAGGATGGAGACCCGTACACTCTAGGGGTGTCAGTTCAGGGTTCTGAGACCAAGCCACAAGCTTCAGTTCTGCAACTGTCTCGTGGCAGTCTCACCTTATATATAAGCAACTCTTATCAACAGCACCTCAAAGCAGTGATGGAAAAAGAAAACATATCACTCACTTAAAAAGGGCAGTGTCCCAGTTGAAGAACATGTCCTGGTAACATTACAAGACAAATAGATTGTCCTCATTTTAACTTTCTGCTCAAGAGTTTCATAAGCTCAAACTGTCTATAGTCTATATAGACTTCTTTTTCTGAATGGATAGCAGCAGGTTTTTGGGTTTTTTAAATATCACATTAAAAATGGTGTATGTTAGGTATGTTAGGTCAAACAACCCTTAAGCCTAATAATGGAGAGTGTTAGCACAGTCCAGGGAACATATGAGTTTTGAGCTAACAGTTCTTATGAGCTAAAAATGAGGAAGTAAAACAAGAGGTAGAAAAGACGGTTTCTTCTAGAATTAACAGAATAAAAAGTAATTACAACACATTAGAGTAAGGTCATACTGTAAAGGATGGCAATATATGCATAAGATTGTTTAGTCCACGGACAGCAACAAGTTACCAATTATTAAGTGGCACTACATAATCTCACTACAATTCTATAATTTTGGCACTATTATTACCTCCTCCTTCACCTACTTTATAGGTGAAGAATTGATACCTAGAGAAGTCAGGTAGCTTGACCAAGTCACACAGCTAGTACATGGCAGAGCCAGGTCTTAACAAGGGAAGGGAACAAATAGCCAAATAGCACATGTATTTCCTACAGGAACCCTCAGACCAGTCCTGGGGCTGGACTGCGACTGCATTTAAGTGCCTCACAACCATTACCCCTTTTTCATTTCCAGGACTTCCTGCTGGTCCCAACTCTTAGCAAGCAAATAGTAAGCTCAGTAGGCAAGTCATATTTAAGTGTATACACACACACACACACACACACACACACGTTATATAATCGGCAAATACAGTCTAACTGTAGACCTGGAATAATAGTAAGCTAATTGCATAAATTATATACTTCCCTGGATAAGAGTGACGTCTGGTGGCTGCCACAGCTGACTCCTGAGACATGTACAGCGCCATAGATTTTCCCATCAAATACTTGCCTGTAGGAGAGACTGGGAAATGTCTACATTCTCTGGATTGTCAAAATGCAGGAGTTGGGAGCCAAACCCGTAGAAATGGGGCCCCATTTTGTGGAGGTCCACCACATTGGCATCCGCACTGAACACAGTCCTCCAGCCCTCTTGGTAGATCTTGGGAAGCTCCACAGAGAGGATCCGCCGCTTGTTGTCATAAAGGCCTTTTGCCAGCCACAAGGGGAGCTCCAGCTTTAAGCCCTGCATCGGACAAGAATGTAGATTTAAAAAAGAATGACACAGTAAATGTGTGTATGACAAAAAGGAACTACACATGGCATGAGCAATAAAGCCTGTTCTCTTAGGGGGAGCGACTATCAAAACACAGAAGAGCTGGTTGTGACTTCAAGAAATGAATTGTGTGGGCTCAAGTTTTATGTCATGATGAAATGGAGAGAGAAAATGGATTTATACAATAAAAACATTAGAGAACAAAAATATGGTATAAAGGGAAAGTTTCCTAATATAAATAAAAGCTGTCCAATTCCAGATACTTCAGAGGTATCATAAACATTTCTATTTTCTTTGACTATTCAGTATCGATTCCACATATACACTCACTGAGTGCCTACTATGTGCTAAGCACCACCCTGGGAGCTGGGGGACTACAAAGAAAAGTAGGATCAGCTCGAGTCAGCTGACTCCCCCCATACCACGTCACAGCTTCAGAGGAGACAGAAAAGATAAATGTCTTTCTTTCCTTTTAAAGTCTTAACAGAATTGGAAAATATGAGGAGATGGCCATGATAGACCAGAAATTAAGAGAAATATCCAAAAAATAAAACATAAAAGGAAAACATAACTGGGTTGAAGGGGGCAACAAAAGCACTCCACAAAACTGTCATGGTCATTAAAAAAAGTCTGCTAAACTGTCACAGCCAAGACGAGCGTAAGGAGACATGAGTATGAAATGCAATGTGGGATCCTGGAACAGAAAAAGGACCTTCGGTAAAAGTGAAGGAAATATGAATAAAGTACAGGCAGCACGTCTCTGTTTACCCGTGTGGGAGAGTACTAAATCCTTGTCTACTCTAATGGAAAGTCAATAAATAATGCCCACATTTTTAAAAAAATCAAGTTTAAGACTATTATTTAGAAATATGGAGGTGAATTTTGAAGAAACTACCAAAAGAAGCAGACAGACCATGTGGAGCTGCAAAGAGAAGTGAGGAAAAGCAACGCAGGGGGGCCGGCCTAGTGGCTCAGTTGGTTAAGGGTTGTTAAGAGCGCGATCTCTGAGCAACAGGGCCGCCGGTTCAATTCCAACATAGGCCAGTGACGCTGCACCCAAGCTGAGCTGCGGCTGAGCTAACAGGTAGCAGGATGGCTCAGCTGGTGTAACAACAAGATTGCCTGTTTGATAGTGGGCTATGCCCACCCGCAACTAAGACTAAGCTCCACACCTTCAGCTGAGCTGTCACCAGGCTGTCTCAGTGGATAGGGCGCGTGCTCTTAACAAAAAGGTTGCTGGTTTGACTCCCGCATGGGATGGTGGCTATGCCCACCTGCAACTAAGATTGAACACAGCACCTTGAGCTTAGAGGCCACGAGCTGCAAATGGGAAGCCAGATGGCGACTGGCGCCCTCCACAACGAAGAATGAAGAACAACAACTTGGCTGGTCCCCCTCCCCAATTAAAAAAGAAAAGAAAGCAAGGCACGGCCTGCTATTCCTTTTTATCTTTTAGCACTATTTGACTTTTTAAACTTCGTAAGACTTTGATAAAAATGAACTCAAAACAAACCAAATACCTTCTACACAAAATTTAGGTTAAATAGGAAATAAAAAATAACCACTACAAGCCATCTTCCTGGAACAAACTTGTATGTGAAGTCAGACAGTCCAAGGTTCGAATCCCAGCTCATCAGGTACAGCGCGTTCCTGGCCAAGCTAGGAAACTTTTCTGGGTCTCAGCTTCCTCGTATGTAACAATACCTAATTACAGCGTTGTTGAAGGATTAAAGAGGTAATAAATGGAAACGTACACTCTACCTACCCCATTCATGTTGGCACCAAAGCCCTCAGTAAATGGTTGCTGATACCGTCATCATCACGCAGGGAAGAATCTAGCAATCTGTGGGTCACACGCTCTGACAGAACTCAATGCTGTTGCTTTGGTTTAAGGCAAACGTGATCAGAGCCCTCATCCTGAAGTATATATATTCAATGGGACCCAATCTTGAAGCATCAACTCATGGGGGCGGGGGAGACACTCTTGAATTTGCACCGTTTTAAAAAAGAAATCAGTGTTGGAGGGAGCCTGACGACCTAGGATGCAGTTCGTTTCCGTGGAAGTGGCCAAGGCTAGGTGGGGGAGATCTGGGAACAGAAATTGGAGCGAACAGCCCCGCGTCTCCCTATAACTATATACAAATCCCAGAGGACAGCGCGCCCGGAGACGCGGCGCCCCAAAGCCGCGAGGCCCACCGGGAGTTGTAGTCTTTTTCGCGCGAGGCCGAGCCAAAATGCTTACCTGAGGGATCGCGTTGTCGGTGTCGGCCCCTACACTCCGTTCCAGGAAAAAAGCGCCGAGGCGTGGCATGGGGATCTCGGTGCGCACCGGGAGTTTCTCGTGGGACATCAGGATGTCGTCCAAGGAAAGAAAGTTCTCCTGCAGTCCCAGCGCACCCGACTCCACCCGGAAATAAGCCTCGGACATGGCGGCAGCTTGAGTTTCTCCACTTCCACTCGTGTGGTTCAGGAGACCTCGAGGAGTCAGGGATGTAAAAGGAGAAGGAGAAGGCTGGCCAGGATTGTGAGGGTTTGGTGGATTGAAACTTTTCCCGCGCCTGGGGATGGGCCAGACAGGAGCAGTCGATCCAGGCGGATCGGCCCAGACAGAAGCAATCGATAAAGCCTGCCTGCAGACTTGGTCCAGTGCGACCCTTGACGGGGACAGGGCAGCACTAAAGTGGGTCTGCTGGAAATTTTCTTCTCGCTGCGTATATCCCCGTGTGGGAATCTTAAAAAGAAGCTGGACATGCCCATTAAAGCAGCAGGATGCATTTGCAGATTGTGTTTATGTAGTCTTTTACATGGTTATATGAAATTAAAAGCACATTACAACACGTTTGGGGGCTTCAAGAAAGGCGTCATTGTACCCTCCATCCCAGGCCTGATCAAATCAGACCTATTTACTAGTTTTTTCACTTTGCATTTCTGTTAATCTTGGTACTTGAAATTAAAACAAAAACCAAACAAACAAAAACACTCCAGCAGTAGCCCCAAATAGTTACTATGGACTATTTGTAGTATTTTGGAGGCGATTTGGAGTGGAGTGGGACAAGGGGTGTAGCACCAGACTACACATGGCTTGCAAAGGTCCTGAGCCTAATCCAGAACCTCCCAGCTCACCTAACCATCAACTGGCAATCTTTACTTCCTTTATCTAACTCTTCATGCACCAAACCAATAGTTCCCCTGCCTTAATTCACTCCAAAGTCAAGTACTGGACAATTAGAGAACACCCTTATAGCCCAGAGTCCACCAACATTGTTCAAAATATCCAATCCTAAGCTTGCTCAAACTTGCCTACTCTGCCGTGCCCATTTCTTCCCAGAGAAACCCCAATAAAGGCTCTGGGACATGTTCTTTTGGGAACTGTGAGCAATAAAACCTCCAGTGGCACTGACCCCGATCTGTGTCATCACTCAGTTACCTCCATAAATTAAATCATGGGCATCATCAAAACAAGAAGCAGTGCAGGTGTCAGGGCCAAATTGTGGAAAGCGTTGGGTGCTCTGCTAAGGAGTTTAGGCTATTTCATGGGAAATGAGAGAAATGGTGTAAGGTTTTTGAGCAAGTAATAACATAAGCTTGAGCTTTAAGAAGAGAATTCTGGCAGTGTGGTGGAGAAGAGAGAGATTAGATGCTGGGAAGCCAGCTTGGAAGCTGTTCAGGGGGCAGTACCTGGCAGCTAATTGGATATAGGAAGTGAAGGATAGAGACGGGTCAAGGATGATTTAAGTTCTGAACCTGGTTGACCAGATGGATGGAGATGTCATTAACAAATGTACAGAGCACAGGAATAAGGCCAAAGATGAGTGCAGTTTGGCACTCGTGGAGTTCAGGGACCACTAGACGGGCAGGTCTGCAGCTCAGTGGAGAAACCAGCCTTGAAGCTTTAGAGTTAGGAGGCATCTATTTAGTTACATGAGAGTTCTTTCCTTGATCATATTTTAAATGTTCAGTTTGCTACACTATCCAATAGAAAAGTAAAGATAATTCATAGTCAACATTTCTTTCTCTGATGAAATGGGTATATGGTATGGGATATAGTTTGGGGTAGAAATATAAGTTAATTTGTCTAATTGAAGGCAATGCAGGTTATTTACTGACAAGGATAGTTGAAACAGCTAAGGTGGATGCTTAATGGTTTATCAATGTCAAAGAAAGGCATTGTTTTTGTCCATGGACCAGAATGTTGGCTCTAAACTCAAATACCATAGTATTTTAATACTCAAGTAATAGGCCATGTTTAAGATAAAGTCAGAGTATCTTGTTTTTCTTATTTAATGTCTTGGCTCACCGTGAAGCTATTAGTCACTGCTTGTATATTTTTACTCTATTTAATCTGTCCTCTCCTTAAACTAATAAATGAATAAGCCATTTAGCATAATGGCTATGATGCTAAACAATTGCATTAATTCATTGACAAAAGTCGTACATAGCTTATCAAGTATACATTTACAGCCTAAATTATAAGAGCCAAGAATGCTTCTTTTCTCTAAGAAAGCTTATGTTCCTTAGTATTCACCCAACCAATCTATGTACCAGAGTTACACTGAACAGAATTTCAGTATATTTAAAATATTCAGAGTATATTCAGTATATTTACAATATACTCAATTTCAGTCTTCTGAAATTGTTGGCTGGATCCCTGAAAAATAATTTTCCACTTTAATCACTTCAAGATTACCAAACTAGGGCCGGCCGAGTGGTGCGTTGGTTAACAACTGGCTTGGGTCACCAGAGGGCGCCGGTTCAGATCCCTTATATGAGGGCCAGTGACACTGCCCTCTACAGCTAAGATGCTGAACAACAGCTCAACCTGGAGCTGGGCTGCCATTGGTAGCCAGCATCAGCATAGGCTGCAGCCCCTGCTGCAGTGGGTTGCCATGGGCTACTGTGTGTAGCCGGCAGCCAGCGTGAGCAGCCAGCAGCCTCCGTGAGCGGCCATCCAGAGGCCAGCGACTGATCTGCCTTGCCTGGGAAGAGCGCAATGATGGTGCCAGCTTGGGCCAGTGAAGCAACATCATCCACAACTAGACTGAAGAACAAAACGATAGCAACTTGTCTATTCCCCTTCCCCCGACTCCCCAGCACTGTACCCCTCCCCCAATTCCCCAATAAAAATTAAAAAAAAAAAGATTACCAAATTATAGAACTGTGTGGCACACACAGATTTTAGATAAGCAAAACCAAAAGCAGCTTTAAATCTGTTCTTTTGAATACCAATGCTTTCTAAGTTTCTTCCGTTGAGGGGGGAGGCAGTGACAGAAGTGACAGAAATTGAGCGGGGGCGGGGAGGGAGACAGAAAAAGAATGTATTGGACTCCCTACTTCCAGTTGCTTGTTTAGCCAAAGATTTTAGGATTTCCTTTGATCCCTCTCCCCTTACATCCTATAACTGGTCCATTAGCAAATGCTGGCTCTACCTTCATAATATTTCCAGAATTTAACCCTGGTCCAGGCCACCAGCATCTCTTGCCTGGGTTTTTGTAGTAGCTTTCTAGTCTTCCTTTTGCCCATGGCCTCCTTGTTCCTTGAACACCCCAGCCCACTGGGTTTTGCAGTGTCTGTTCCCACTACCTAGATTGGCTTTCTCGTGGACTTCCACGTGGCTGGTCCTTGTCAGGTCTTCACTCGGAAGTCACCTTTTCAATGAGGCTTCCCCCCACTGACACCTGCTGTCTCCCTCCCTTGGCTCCTTCAGCACTGACCACTCTCTAGTGTACTGCACATTTTACTTCTCTACCTTGTTTACTGTCTGTCACCCTTACTAGATCATTAATTCCATGAGCACAGGGATTCTTTTTGGTGTATTTTTCACTGCTGTATCCCCACTATCTAGTGCATGCTGGGCACTTTGTAAATATGTGTTGAATGAGTGCTTCTTTGGTTATAGTAGAGATATTATTTTCCTTTAAAACATTAAATAAAAACAATGAATCAATTTGAGTAAATAATAGTACAAGTGGTGTGCAGATATTGCAACAAAGGGTAGCAATGAAACACTGAAAATACCCAATTCAAGTGGTAAAATATAGTTTGCCAAGGCACAAGTTAAGTCACATATGACCGGGATCCATGAGCTTAAGGGCCTGGCTCCATAAATGTCTTTCCTATTATCATTCATCGGTGTTTGTTTACTGCTGTATCCTCAGCATCTCAAATAATACCTGGCATCCAGCAATCACTCAATGAACGTTGATTAAATAACTATCATATTCATCATCATCCTTGATCTAAGCTCGGCTCTACTTGCTCCTCTCCCCAATTCAAGTTTCTAAATGTACTTGAAGGGTGATGAGTTATCATTCTTCAATTCAGCTTTTTCCTGCAAAAATTCAGACAGAATTTATCTGCCATGAGTTCAAATTATTAAAGTTTTTGTGTGTGTATTTTGAAATTACAGTATTATGTTTGAAATCATATTATGTAAGGTTAAGAGATTTAAATCACTGGCATTCATTTTTGCATAATTTAAATGTTCTTCTGGTTGAGCTATTTCTTGAGCATCGCTCCCAAACGCCTTCGATGAGATCAAAATAAATTGATGGGCACGATGCGACCTTATGTGTGGGCAGCGCTGATTTTAGATTCTTCCCACAGTCTTCAGCAGTACTAGCAGAAATTGTAAACCCATTTTGTGTATTCAGAGAGGTTTTGTGTTTGTGTGTGTCACCCTCACAACTTGGCGAAGGAACAGTTATGGCATCATAATAGAGGCAGTTGTTTAACCCAGCGTTTCTTTTCCTGTGTCCCCAGCTCCACAAAAATACCCTTTCCTCCCATTCCTATACGTTCATCTTTATCTGGTAATTTGCTCTATAATTTAATCCATGATCTGATAGCCAGAGTTTCTCCCAGTCAAAAAGGATAGAGTAACAAGTAAATTCTTTAGTTTGAGGAGAAAATGGGGGAAGAACAGCTGTCATTTATTCATCAAGATTTTCAGAAGTTTATTAGATGCCTTGGGGCTGCACACGTGTTCTAGATGGTTAGATGCCCAGTGGAGGAAATAGTAACATGAGGTGATGAAAGCTATGATGGAGCTGTGTACAAAATGTTATGGAAACTCAGGAGGAGTGGTAAATTCTGACCTGGACAGAAGAGGGGTTTACAAAGGCTTTACAGAGGAAAACGTACCAGGATGGGGCCTTTGAGTGGGAGGAGGGCTTTTTTCAGCAGGACCACAAATGTGAGGAGGGGTCATTCCAGACCCAAAGATCAATTTTGAGCAAAGATATGGGATTGTTAAAGTTTAACAAGATTAACAATAATTTCCTCAAAACAGTATCTAATGGCCTGTGTTCACGTCTCCACAGTTGTCTCCAAAATATTTGTAACCTAGGAAATCTTACAGGAGCCAATCAAAAGTGACTCATTGCATTTGGTTGCTACAGCCCTTTAAACAGACCCATCCACCATCTTTCCCTTCCACCCCCATGGCACTGACTTTTTGGAGAGTCAAATTCTGTTCTGGTTGTCTAAATAAAGAAATTTTAAAATACTCCAAAATTTAGTGGTTTAAAACAACTATTTGATTATAGCTCAAAATTTTATGGCTCACAAATTCAGACAGGGCTCAGTCCAGTGA